AACCTCGAGGACAAGGCTGATTTGAAGAGGGCGGGTCTGTTAGGACTCTAGCTTGGAGAGTCCTAATTGAGAGGGACATTCATGTAAAACTGTTAGGACTCTAGCTAGGAGGGTCCTAATTAAGAGGGACATTCTGTTATGACTCTAGCTAGGAGAATCCTAATTGAGAGGGGCATTCATGTAGGAGGTTTTTTCTTAGAGAAGAATTAGGAGTTGTAAGGGAATAGGAGTCTTGAGTAGGAGTCCTATTAGGAGTTGGTTAGAAGTAAGAGTCTTAAGTAGGAGTCCTATTAGGAGTTAGGGTTTAGAAGCCCTATAAATAACCATGTATTCATTCTTTTTTCTTAAGCAATAGATGAATCTTTTCTGCAGCCTTTGAGCAACAATTTGGAGGGAGGAACCCTTATAGAGTTCCAAGGAGGCCGATCCCCTAAAGAGATCAACCCCAAGTTTAGAATCTGCAAGGGTTCTAACACAACTGTACGTGTCTTGAAATGATATAGAGGCAATTTGATCCCAGGCCCAACTTTAAAATCCTGGTGACCCTTCCTTCACAAAGTTTGACTTGTTTTACTAGATCATGAAAGCTTTCCTCTTCCCTTTCTTTAGTACTTTAGGACGCAATTATTGTATCTGCAGGCTATCTCATTTCAAGTTTGACAGTACAATACAGGCACAGGTTCCCTTGGTGTGGAATGTAATAAATAATTAAAAGAATCTAAAAAAAAAACTATTTCGAAGAAGTCTGGGGTGTTGAATTTAGATACATAATCTTGTTTGTTGTGCTTATTCCATGTGACCAGTTAATAACTTTTGCCAAATGAGTCTTGGCCAGACCATTTTGCATTCTGGAGGTTGCATGAGGTTGGTAAGAGTCTGTGTGTGGTGAAAATGGATTTATTTTGTCTATGTGCTTATATTATGAGCACAGATTTTCTGAGAGGGTCGGGATGGTTAACAATTTGCAGAAAAGGGACTGGTGCTGTGTGGTTCATGGCATAAGTTTGTTAACATAGTGGAGACTTTCATCTATCTATGATTGGACGTTATCAAACATCCTGAACTAAATCCAAAATTAGGATACTTTTATTCAGTCACTTGTTCTTTTGTGCTTTCTTCTACACAGTACCCTGATGAGGGCTTCAAGATGAGAAAAATGATCAGTTGAGACGTTCTGTGGAGCCAATGTTTACTTCGATCAGTGCTTTCTGGCCGTTGTAATGCTATCTTTAGAAGTAGCATGATTACTTCAATATAGCTGCATTTTTGCACATCTTTGTTCGTAATTGACCTCCATTTATTTGAAAACATTATCATATTCTGTTCCCTTGATGATGAAATTATTTTTCATTTTTCATCATTTGTTGTCCTTTATGACATATCTGATTTTTAATTGATAGAGTGAGTTTATTGCTGAATGCTTCATGCGACGGGCCTACATATCGGGCTTTACTGGTAGTGCTGGTACAGCTGTGGTAACGAAAGAGAATGCTGCTCTTTGGACTGATGGGCGCTATTTTCTTCAGGTATGCAGTATTTCGCCAAAAGTTGTCATTCTATTATGTATATCTGGAATTAGTCAATGATATTGGTTCATATTGACTGAAAATTAATATTCATATATCATGTTAGCATTTGTGTTATTGGTGAATAGGCTGAGAAGCAACTGAGTCGCGATTGGATACTTATGAGAAGTGGAAATCATGGTGTTCCCACTACCAGTGAATGGCTTAACGATGTCTTGGCTCCTGGTTGCAGAATTGGCATTGATCCTGTAAGTTTTATACTAATTCCTTATTGCATCTTAATGAACATTTTTTTCGTATTAAATATTTAGCTTTGACATTAGAATGTTGCTGAAACTGATTTATTGGGCCCTTCTGTTCATGATCTATCATTTTTTACATAGGTTGAACATTGGCAGGTTAAGTATCTTTCAAAGTAGAGGTAAACAACATTCTTGGCAAGTTTTGATATCGGAATTGTTCGTTCCAGTTTACATTTTCATCTTAAGACAATGGGAAATGTAATTTATACTTTGAGAACAAAGTTGGATAGTAAAAGCATCATGGCTTTACACGATGGAACTGTTGGAAGAAATTCACTGAGAAGAACACTAAACATGCAAAATAGTTTTTCTTTTGTTTTCATATGACAAAATCCTGAACTTATTAGATATTTAACAAAAAAGGCATATGTTGATATAGGTCCTCGGAAGATTCCACGAATTGTTTATTATTGTCATGTCCTTTTTTCTTCCATCAATTTCTGGTTGCCCATCGAGCATGACCAAAAGGTTGAGTAGGCCACATGGAAGATTTGCATTATTTTCACCTCTGGCCACAATTGGCTATCAACTTGATGCTAACTTTTATTGTGATGCTGAACTTCTAGAAAGCAAAATTTGTTCACAGATGAATTGACCTGGCAAACCTAAAAGAGTGAGGAAGTTTCTTGTTCTGACTTTTTTTTCGCTGTAATTCAAACTCATGCAACCACGGAGAAAATAAGCAAATTTAAGTTTGCAAAGAGAGTTGTTGCAATGCACGGAGCTTCTAGAGTGGGCTCAGGTCTACCCAGTGGCAGTAGAGGATCAACAACATCAGGGGACCTAGTATCAGTATCAAAGGCCTGGTCCTGGCTAAATCCCTCCCAAATTAGGACAGTACATTCCAATCCGATGCAAAAGAGTTCTGTTAGATCCATTTTCTTATGTGAACATAGGAGCAGATCAACATAATATCCTCTTGATTCCCATGAGGAACCAGTGATCATTTGAACTGAAATATCAAACATGTCCACCTCACCTTGCTGCACCATGCCACACAGCATATATTTCTGAGAGATACAGTTCTTTTCAAGATAGTATTGTCTCACTCTCATCTATATGGCACAACTCAGACTCGAAAAACTCTTTTCAAGATGATATTCCACTACCTTTTACCAATTTGAAGTCAACACAGAAACTAGGTGAAAGAGAATCTTGCCTACTCTTCGGATAAAATAAATTTCTTTCATGAGAAATTTGAGCTGCTGTTGAAGTGAATTCATTTACAGTGCTCTCAGGAAAACCTGGCTCTTTCTTTTGCATATTTTTTTTATATTCCTGCTTATAGTTACTATTTGACCATCACTTTTCCTTTTGGTATTTGTTAATTGATGTATAAGTAGGTATATCTACAATCCTCGTAATGGCTATTAACATTTAAGAATCTAAATTTCATCCCATAGTTTAAAAAATTGATACAATTCTAATGTTGACCACCTGTCTAACTGAAGTAGCACACCAACATGTATCCTCCAATATCATTGGAAAAAAGAAAATGAAAGGATGCTGAATGTTATACAACTTTTTCGGTGCTTTGTTGGACTAGTAGCTTCATCCATTTATCTTGTTGTGTTAATAGTTTCGACTCAAGGAATCAAACACCGGTTATATTGGAACTTACCAACCAGTTTTTACCTCTGACCAAGGTTCCGTCCTTGACTATAGTGGTCAGTGCTGATGGGTTTTTATTTTTTTTAAATTTTTTTCAGTGGTATTGGGTGGTACAAATTGATATATTGCTCGTATGTTGGTACTACTGGTCTAACTGGTTGCCGAATGTGGTAATGGATCAAAATTTAATTCCTTGTTTCTGCTCTTTGCTGCATTTATCCTAGACATGTTGTTTTTGCACTCTTGCTTTTTTGTTGTCTGCTGTGAGTTCACATATTAACTTTTTGCTATATAAAAAGTTGTTGCTGGAATCCTTTTATGCTTGTGCTGAATATAACATCATGTTCTCTCTGACGTTTTGAAGGGAGCAGTTCCTCTTTTCTTCCAATGCAGCAGAAGAATTGAAAGATGAAATTTCTAAGAAGGATCATGAACTGGTTTTCCTGTATGACTACAATCTCATCGATGTGATTTGGGGAGAATCAAGGCCAAAGCCTCCAATTAACCCAACTAGAGTTCATGACATTAACTATGCTGGGGTTGATGTCTCATCTAAGTTGTTTTCTTTAAGATCTGAGCTTATCGAAGCTGGTGGATCTGCCATCATTATATCAATGCTTGATGAAGTTGCTTGGCTATTGAACATGGTAATCTATCTAGCCTACTGGACAATATGCACAATTACATCACAACACCATAAATAAGTTATCTGGGCAGGTTTCTTCACCAATGGGCTTTAGTATTCATAAATCTCAAGGCCACCAAGGTTTTCCACTTCAAAGAAATCAATGCTCCATATGTTGATCTCTTATCCACTGCAAAATCTGTGGTCGAATTCATTATAGTGTTATCTCATGTGTGACTGTGGAAATACTCTTGAATTTTGAGTTTGTTTAGTTTGTATCAGGGTTTAAATACTGGTTTGATACTGATTTCAGTAACCTATTAGACTAATAAGGTACTAGGCAATATAAAGTGACCTTTACAGCCCAATATAATTGTATAAAATAATAAAAAATATATGAATGGTATAGGTATTGGTATTAAGCTCTATACTTTTTGATACTGGTACTTTGTCGATCTGCTAAGGTACTAGTTGGTATTCCAACCTGTATTTAAAACCTTGTTTTATACCATTAAGTTATGGCATCAACAACCTTTCAAGTGAAATAGTACTAAGAACCTTGTTTCTTTCTTTTTATAAGCTACAATTAGATGCTGATTTAAGACTTAACTTTTATTTTAGTGAAATATCTCAACATTTTATTTTTACATTATTAGTTGGAGCATGTAAGAGATTATTAGATACTGTGGTACTGAATTTTTGTTGCTGCACTCAGCTGAGCATTATTTTTGAAATGCAATTATCACTACAATTAATGATTTCTTTAGTTGCCTGAGATTGATAACATGCCTGGAAAAGATTTACATTAGTACTGTAAAAGATAGATGATATAGCTTCAAATCTGTGAACAACTGCTATAGCAACATGATGATACATGCTAACAGTTCTGGACTGAAAACAACAGTGCTGATCTCTGCTGGACTACACAAATATTTGTGCATCTGCAGACATGAGTATAATGACAAATTTCATTGTCAAGCCTCCATGCAAATTACCCAATATTTGAGTTCTTCTTTTGTTAGTGCAATCTGCTAAATGCCATTTCTGTGGTATTTGTGCCAATATTCAGCTCATTATAGAACTAGGCTCTTGAATGGAGGCTTCATGCTTCTTTTGTTTGCTAATTAAGCAAAAGTTAACTTTTAACCTTGAACCAATTGCATAAGGTTATGGTAATCTGAGAATAAATTTAGCATTTGATGTTTCTCTGTCTCTATGACTAGCACTTCTTGGGAGAACTTTATTTGTCTTGAATATTGTTCTTTCAATTATAAACATGGATATTTGATTAGGTAGTTTGTTTTCTACTTGTGTATCAAGCATTCGCTGATGAAATCAATAGAATTATTTGATTTCATTTTCTGACAAGCTCTTGCAAACTTCATCATCTTCATCAGATTCTTCACACTGTATTAAAGTAATATATTTCATGATGAATACAGTAAGGAAGTCAGTTAATTCACAATTATCAAAGTTGAACAAAACAGCGCTATTCATCTAGAGAAACTATATAAGCATGTGGTTTAAATGACTGACCCACCAGTCTGACCAATGTCTGTATGACCTGAGAGCAAGGTAACTTTGTAGTCTGGTTTTGGTAATTATTAGTTAATCATTTAATCCTTATTAGGAATCATGATATATAAGTAATTATTGTAACACTAAGTTACTGTTTAAGTATATGTTGTATAATGTTTGCAAGTATTTTACATTGCCATATTCTTTTCATATTCATGACCTCTTTTTTTTCTTTTTAGTTTTGATGTATTAGCATATTTGAATGATGTTGTCTTGGTACCCATTATCCATTTTCATGCTTCTTAGCTCTTATGGTTATGAATCTCTGGCAGTTTTAGTTACATAGATGATAGATCTCTTCCACACTTGTGATAGAAAGGCGAATTACTTACTGCCATATCGTTTTGTGCTGCTGGAGGGAACTTTATTTCTGTTTCTATCAAATTGTTGTACAGATTTGGGATCTGAAATTTTACATGGTGTATATTGTATATCTAGAAATTTAGATTACATTAGTCCATTAAGGGGATATTGTGTTCACAGATTGGTTATGTAATGTGATTTCCTACTAGTACTATTTTGCAAAGGTAAATAATAAACTTTGTCTAACATCATGAAAATCTGTTTGAAGTTTGAACTTCCATGTTTAATGTTCTTCATATGTTTTGTTTTTGTGATAGTAATGTATGCTGTGATGCCTTCATTATACTAATGAACGTATCCCTGTTTCACTTTGTAGAGAGGAAATGATGTTCCAAATTCACCTGTGTTCTATTCCTACCTATTAGTGGAGATGAACAGGGTCAAGTTGTTTATTGACAATACTAAGATCACCATGGAGGTAAAGGATCACTTGACTAATGCTGGAGTAGAATTGAGACCATATGAAGGAATTCTACCTGAAATAGAGAGGTATTTTAAATAATCAGAAGATTTTTATTGAAAATTTTGCATGTCTTGAAGATGTACTTAAATCTTTGAAGATACTTATGTTGAATTTTTTGCATGTCTTAGAGATTTGCTTAAGATATGTTTGGCATCTAATTGCCATTCATGACCTAATTCTCTAGTTAATAAGATTTTGTTTAGAACCAATTAGGTTCCCTTTTCTTTACCAACCTACTTAGTAAAGGAGAAGAATAGCGTATATAAATCATACATATGCATTTTATATGTATATAAATCTATTTCTATTATCTATGTATTAGTTTGCTCGCTCTACTTTGACACCAGGTATACTACCCTATAAAATTGCCTACTAATTGCAGTGACTGGTAAGATAACTGGTGCAGCCCTGTACTGAAATTGGGATTTTTCAATAATATATTTTTTAAATATGAACTTAGGGAGGGTTGTCAACTGATAGCTTTCGACAATTGTTAACTAGTCTCAGCAGCTCTCCTTGCACCTTCTCTTCTGTTAACTAGTCTCAGCAGCTCTCCTTGCACCTTCTCTTCTCTCTCTCTCTCTAAACCCCATCTCTGCCCTTGTAACTTCCTCTGCTTTAGCCCCTCATTTCTTGCTCATGCCATTGCCTCCTAGCATCATTGCTGCTGCCTTCTTCGGTATGGGTTATTGCCTCCACCGCCTCCTCTTCTTCTTCCTCCTTTCCTTTTTCTTTCACTTTGGATCAGGTGATACATGATCCATATTGAGTATCCATATGTCATCGATCCATACCAATATCATACCAATCCACCCATAACTGCAAATCTTGGTGTACTCTAGGTAGGGGGGGTTGATTCGTCAGGTAATATGTGGATTTTTACATGAGTTATAGATGGCAGTTGAACTTGGAGACTATCCTGGATGTGCGTCATAGGAAAGAGAATCAAATTGGCTGTTGCAAATAGTTTTTGAGAGATGCCGTGCCTCTTCTGAACCATTGACTTACCTGTAGTTATCAGAACTGGATTGGTAATAACCTGACCAAACCTTGGGTCGAGCATTGGTCAGATTACATGTTCATTAAAATATATGAAAAATTGCACATCTAATATTAAAAAAAGAAAAAAAATTCATTTTTAACATTATTTTATTATTTTCTTTTTTCGTCCATTTTTCCTTATTCTTCCTTAGATTCTTCGCTTTCTTCTTTTCTTTTTTCCTTTTTATTCTCTTTTTCCTCTTCTTCTTCCTCTACTTTCCCCCTTACTCTATTTCTTTCTCCCCTAACCTTCCTTTCTTTGCTTTTCTTTATCTCTCAATTGCTCTCACTTTCTATCATTCTAATTCATTTTTAATAATGTGTTGGCAGAAGGGACTCAATAGGGTGTAGCCTATATAAGCAGCTCTTCTATCCTTTCTTCTCTTGTTTGTCTCCTAAGGTGAAAATAGGCCAATACATTAGATCGAAATAGGGGTGAATAGCTCACAAAAAATTTAAAGACTGGTTGTTTTTGACTTCAAATTTAATTGCTTTTTATTTACTTATTCTTCTGAACTAGCCAGCTCAGATCGTTCAATCAATAACCCACCAAGTTAGACACCTCTGTTTGATTTAACAGCTTATCTGATCGAATTGTAGAGCTGGACCGGACAGCAGTATGTGTTTCATTTTTCTGGTACATATTGTCTGTTTCAGTTTGGATTTTGTAACTTGGACTTTCCATTTATGTAATTAACCACAATTAATCAGGTTTATAGTGAAACCTAGAAGTTGATTATGATTAATTTTGAGTTGAGTAAACTCTACAACTATACCTGAGCATAAAACTAAGAAATGGAAGCAAACTGATTTTTCTCACAGTAAAAGATTGCTAGAGTAAGCATGTTTGTTCACTACAATTATATAGGAGTTTCTGTAGTGTAGCTTGAGTTTGAGTATAACTCAATCATTTAGGATTTCTTGGAAACTTGGGATTAGTTCTGTTGCTTTGGTCTTGTGTTGGTTGTAGATTGGCATGGAGCTAGTTGTGCTGTACCAACCCTGCTCACCTATGTTAGGTAATGTACCAAAATTTGTCTAGGACATGACCTGACTCTTTGCTGGTACATATCGTGTACTGTACATTTGTAGAATGGAAAACATGTGCTCGTTAACACAAGACATGGAGAACATATAACATGCAATTACTAATGCCTCTATACTGTACCCATATTTACTTTCTCGGCAAGTCTTGTATAGCTACATTATACATGCATATAGGCAACATTCTAAAGCAACAAGTATGTTAGGAAATATTGGCAACTTATCTAACGTAATCTCAAACACCATCGAGAGCTTCACATCACTCAATGAGAAGTCATGAAACAAAAACTTAAGGAAAAATATTTATCAACCTACTTTCAAAGCCAATCGGTTAAACAATTGTTAAATCTTAAACAGTTCAATTCTAGTATGGCAGAGTATTTGATCCAATTTGAGGAACTTTTACTTATGTGTGAAATAGAAGAGGACCAAATCATTACTATTCGAAGATTTGTTAATGAGTTGAGGTTTGACATCCAACGGGAAGTCTTCCCTAGTTTCCCCAAAACCATGGAGGAAACTTCCTGGAGAGCCCTTGAGATTGAGAAGTACATCAAAGCTTGTCCAATTCATCGAGCATCTTCTCAGTCTCTCGACAATAGAACTATTTTAAAATCTGCCCCAAGTAGTGGCTTTGTTAAGCCAAAAATCCCTTCAACTAGCAACAATCATGGCTCAACCATGAATCGTCCAACTCGTTTAATTACTGATTCTCAAACTAATTTGTTTTCAATCCAATGTCATTATTGCCATAATAAAGGTCACAATACCTCTCGCTGTCCTCAAGATACCCTTGCCTTAAAACAAGAACTAGAGGAGCAAGTCGAGGAAGCAAACCAGGTAGTTGAACTCGAAGCGTACTCACGAGATGAAAACGAACTAGAAATTGAAGATGCCCATGTTAATGTTAATGCCGATGTTCCTCCAGGTGGCGATCCTCTCAAAGCACTGATTCTCCCACAACATAGGGATAACGTAGAGGCCATTCTTGATAATCACGTTGTTCGTCTACTACTAACAATTACTCAACACTTTCTTGTCAAGTGGCATGATCGTCCAGCTTTCGATGCCACTTGGATTACTTTGGAGGAACTTCGTGACTTTACAGTAGACTTATTGGACCAGTACCTTGTAGATCACTCTTAGGGGTTGAGTTCTTTTCCATTGGGGAAGAATAAATGGAGAACTATCAAGCTTTACAAAGGATTTCAGAAAAGTTTATTCTAGGCAAAGATATTAACAAAAAGTCATCAATTAATTAGCCTAGAAATTTTAAGAGTTGTGTTGAAAATTAAAAAGTTTTTTGGTCTTTCTAGAGACTCCTTTTGTATTAAGTGCCTCTTCTATTAAGGGTACTAATTTATTATTTAGTTATCTTAGAAGTCACATTTTGGATTTCTAAAAAGCATACTAATTCCTTAAGAGATTGCTCTTGGGAATTATTATCTTTATTAATTGTTCAAAGCAAGGTTTGTTATTTCGTATTGTACCGGAGTATCGAGTTCAGCTCGGTACAGTATGGTACGAGTATATCGAGTGGTACGCTTAAGTGTACCATTCGGTATATATAATAATAATAATAATAATAATAATAATAATAATAAATCAAAAATAAAAAGAGAGGCGATGTCGCCGAAGCGACGCGATGTTGCCTTGTTTCTTTCGCCTGCGTGGGGAGAAGAAACGGTTTCTTTTGCTTGGTTTCTTCTCCCTGTGAGAAGTCACCGACGGCGGCTCGGCGACGTTGCCTCGTTTCTTCTACCCGTGTGGGGAGAAGAAACGGTTTCTTCTCGATTTCTTCTGCTTGGTTTCTTCTCCCCGCGGAAGCCTCGGCGATGTCGTCGAGGCTTCTTCTTCCCGCACGGATGAGGAGAAGTCGCCGATGACACTGAGGCGTTGTTGCCTTAGACAAGGAGGAGGCAACATATCATCTGCGGCATCCTACGAGGGAGGGCGGTGATGGATCGGGATCGTCGAGGGAGAGCGGCGTCGGATTTCCAGGTTCTCCCTTTTCTTCTCACTCTTTTTCCTTCGACCGTCACCGACCGATCTCGGGTGGTAACGAGGCAGAAGCAGCCCAAATTGGCTGTACCGCCCAATAGCGGGCGGTCCGTGTATTGGTCTATTGGCGGACCATTTCACCGGGTGGTATCATTCGAAATTAAAAACCTTGGTTCTAAGGCTCCTAGACCCCTAAAAATAGTAGAGCTTGTTAATGGATTAAACACTTCAGATTTGAATTTAAAAAAGGCTTGCATCTTCTCTCTCCTAGTCTCTTACACTCTTCTCTTGCTATCTTGTTCTCTTGCTTTCTCTTTGCATTTCTTTTTCTCTACTTTGTTCTACATCAATATGTCATATTAGTTTGCAGATTTGAACTACCACACTACTACAATCTGAGGCATTTAGCTTGGTGGTCAACTTTTTGTCTTTAATTTAATATAGCATCAATGGAAGTCTCAAGTAGAAGACAAAGTCAACAAATAAAGATAATTGAATCTATGGAGTGAAAAGGCAAGGGGGTAGGAGGTCATGGATCTGAACAAGGTCAGAAGGTGAAGAAATGCTCATCACAAAGAGAAAGAAGACAGCAAGGTCACAAGGCCTAGAGTACATTGTTTCTTTAGACTACAAATTTAGCATGTCATCCTGTTTCAAGCATCTTTTTGTTTATACATTAACTAAAATTATTCAACTACCAAGACACTATAAAATGAGGACTTCATCACATATTTTTCCGTATTCATTATCAACTAGAACTCCCTAAAAATTCGATTATATTTTCAGGTAAACAATAGGAAGAAAAATAAAATAATGATAATATAAGACTTCTACTACAGGAAACCGACTTCTAAAAGTTAGTTCAGAAACACTTCAAAATTTCCTGAAAATAAAAAATGGCCAAACTAAATAACTTGACTCTTGGATTATGATTAATCAAATCGAGTCAATAGGACTTGAATTGGAACTCCTTTTCATCAAGGGTCTCCACAATATGGGAAAATGGATCCATTTTACTCACTTATTGGTTGATTAAGGCATATTGTATGGACCCCATGCTATTTGGTGGTGCTTCTCTGAAGGTGCATATGATGCAGTCATTCTTCTTCTGCTTTTGTAAATAGGGGTATAAACTGAAGTTGTTAGCTATATCCTGTTAACTGCAGTAATAGCCTTAGAAAAAGGGATACAGAGAGAACAAAAAAGTGGGAGGGGGGCAAAAGAAAAGCATTGAAAGTAAAAGAAACATGCTCCATAGTTACTTGACATGATAGATTCTGTAACTCTCTTCATAAGCAGCAACAGTTGCTGTTAATTGGTTTAAATGCTATATCATTCAAAAAAGATCTTGTGCTTTAATGTTATATTGTTCCAATTGATGACAGTTACATGGCCATTACTTCTCCTTGCTGATATTCTAGGTGATAACTTCCATTGTGCAGGTTGGCAGCAAGTGGTGCAAAACTCTGGTTAGATCCATCAAGTGTGAATGCTGCAATTGTCAGCATTTTCAAGTCTGCTTGTGAAAAACATAATAGAAAAACTAGAAAAGGAGAAAAAAAGGAAGTTGTTGCATCAATAAAAAATCAAGATATTCAGGCAGAAGGGCCTTTTGGACTGTACAAGGTTTCTCCTGTTACCATGGCCAAGGCAGTGAAGAATAGGGCAGAAATTGAGGGGATGCACAATTCACATTTAAGGTAAAAATTAGCTTGTGATTTGACATTACATTTTGTGTTTGATAAAGTTGTCAAATCATACTTTTTTATGTTTCAAACATGCAAACATGGAGCTAAATATTAGCTATGGCTAGAGATTAGTCAACTTATTCAAGGCTAAATTATTGAAAACTCTAAATCTAGAATTTAGCGAGAAAATAGTTATTATCATGTGTGTATCTACACATACTTTTTGTATCTTAATACACATCAACATATGCAATTATTTTACTTTTGCAAATTTCCATGTCATCCTGTATCCGTGAACTCGATAGCTGATTCTGTAGTAGAATATGATGCCAGGCTCCATACTGGTCACATCCTTTGCTGCTTGCAAAATTTCTACAGTTGCCTCTTGTATTTTGCATATTTAGTTATGAGAGTCAAAGAACTATCACGGCTCTGTCAACAAATTTGTGGCTTTGTCATCCATTAGGGTGAACCTAGAGCACAAGACTCTTGCTGCAGGGTCTGAGAAGGGTAAATGTTTGCAGACTTACCAATCCCATACACTTGGTGAAATACAAGTGAATGCCATGACTAAAATCAAGATGCTTTATCTTGATTGCACAGATATTCAATTAGTAAGAAACTTGCAATAGTGATTCCTGTATTGTCAAATTCTTTATGATAGTGGTCTGAACTATGAACTTTTGGCTATATGTTGCCTTAAATAGTTCTCATTATAGGAAAAGAACCATTTAGTCAGCCCTAGATAACTGGGGACATTACTGCTTGTTATTGTGGTTTCACTTAGCATGGCAATGCATAGATGAGCATTCTTGGCTTCACGTGAATACATTATATGTCAGCTCAATAATACGTTGATACACGCTTCACATGACATCATGTCGTGTTATACTAGGATCATGCAACAGTGAATCTATTGGCTCACCTGTGGACCATGTGATGGAGAACCACTAGGTTTATAAAGGATTTTAGAAGAGTTTATTCTAGGTAAAGAAATCAACAAAAAGTCATCAATTAGATGGCTTAGAAACTCTAAGAGTTGTGTGAAAAATTGAAGGACCTCTTGGTCTTTCTACGTGTTAATCTTGAACTCTACTTTTGTTTTAAGTGCACTCATTTTTTCTTCTTAGATGCGATAAGGTTTTTAAAGCTATTTCGGTCTCCTAGAAGTCACATTTTGGGTTTCCCAAAGGCATATATAAGTTCTCTATAAGTCAGTGGAGATAGTCTAGGTGATTAGTCTTACATTGTGTTTATTGATTGTACTAAGGTTCCTAAATCATAGTAGAGCTTGTTAATGGGTGAAACAATTCAGGTTTGTGTGAAAACACTTGCATCTTCTCTCTTCTAGTCTCTTACTCTTCTCTTTAATGTCAGGCCTGTCTTGGTTTCTTGTTCTCTCTACTTCTCTTTTTGTTCTAATTCTACATCAATTGGTATCAGAGTTTATCAAGAAACATGCCCTGTATCCCATTGGGACATAACTAACAACAAAAGCTTCATTCAATAGTGAGGCCACTCATGGATCCTCACGTGTGGAGTTGGACTTTAGGGCGACTATCCTTACATAATTGGTGGATCACTTAGCTTTTGGTGCCTTGTAATTTTTTGAAAATTTCACTAATATTTTTGTCAAAAAATACTTTTTTTTGTTAGATCGTGATTTTCATCGCTTCTTCGCCCCCCTGTTTTCTCTCTCTCTCTCTCTTGTTTTTTTGTTTCCATTTATCACCCTCTCTCTTCCCTTTAACTATGGTATTATTAGACTTTGTAACCTTGAAAGTTGTCAACAAAAAAAGAAAAAAGAAAAAAGAAAAAGAGAACCACTTGAATCATTACACCTCTACCTTAGATGTTACAATAGTTAACACCATCATTATCGAAAGGCAATTTGTTGATAGCAATAAAATCATAGCTAGGCGAGGTGAAAACCACACAATTTTGATGATTCCTAAAACCAGTAAACACCCTTATGACCAAATTAACAGACCATGGTACAATGTTGAACCAATTTTTTGATTAAATGACCCAAGTCCTAAGAGCCCTCTATCGCCTCGAAAAATGACCCATGAATGAGGAGGTTGATGAGTCGATTAGGCAGCATGATTATTCTTCACAATCCATAACTTCAAATCAAGGAATTTTGCATACTCTCCAACTCCATTTCAAATGAATCATAGGTCTACATATAGGGTATCGGTTTAGAACCATGCTCCAACAATTCCTAATGATTAAGCTTTTGACCATAACAATAAATTCCTAAAACATGCTAGAAATCCACAAACCTAAGTAATGGGCCAATGAGTTCTGTTTGCTAACAATATGAGGGAAATGACTGAAAGAGTCAAATTGGATGTCTCAAACTTTGATGCTAGGTTTGACCTAAATGTGTTTGTCAACTGGTCAGATAGTATAGCGGATTACTTTGAGGGGCACGGAATGATTAATATTGAACGTGTGAGGTTTGCAAAAATGAAATTGATAGGGTCCACTAAGAAGTATTGACAACATGTCCAACATAGTTTTGACTTCGTATTACTCAATGGGTAGTCTTGAAACAAAAACTTAAGGAAGAGAACTGACAAGTTGATTATAGTGTGGGTAGCACTATAAATGTAGTCTCAAAATTTTTTATCAAGAGACAACTTTAAGATAGTCACATTCGAAGTCTTTCAAGGTAGCCTAGGTTGACAAAACCACTTTACTTATGATTTAGAGGTGCTTGGTGCCAATTAAAATGGGCGATTACTAGCATGAGATTTGTTATGATGTTCAGCCAATGAATGTTGTCCATATTCTTGGTTGTATGATCTCGACCAGGGTATACAGTTTCGAATGATCCCGCTCGGTACGGGCAGTACGTGCTGGTCCGACAGGTTACCGGTACGCGGACCGTCCGTTATCGGGCGGAACACTTAAAAGCGTCCCATATCGGACGATATAGGGTTATATCGGGCGGTAACGGTCGAAATTTCGATTGTTACATCAAGCCCTTGAGTTGGGGAGATTGTAACACCGTAATTAGTCCCACATCAAAAGTAGACAAGACTAAGATTAATTTACAAGGGTTTGATGGGTGTACTATTGTCAACTTCAGCATAAGTATTTTGGCCAATGGTTTGACTCAACAAAGTTAACATGCCATTTATCCCATTTGGTCTGGTCGTGACAAAGTTACTCTTGGAATCATTACGTTCATTGATTGTACTAAGGCTCCTAAACCTTGATAAATAATAGTGCTTCTCAATGGATGAACCAGTTTAGATTTGAATGAAAAAACTTACATCTTCTTTGTTCTGGTCTCTTCCTCTCCTCTCTTGCTCTCTCTCTCTACTTCTCTCTCTGTTCTACATCACCCTGCCAGCACATTTAGTTCCTGCCAAGGACAATATAAGCTAATTACATGAGTCAGTTTGGAGGGGCTAAATTGATTACAGATTATGTTGCCAATGTTGAGTGAGTTATCTGGGTTTGTTTTGAGATGTAAAGTATTTTTTTATTTTAAGAACCAAAGGCTGAGTATAAACTTTGTTGCAAGCACTCTTTGAAGTTTTGGTTGAAACTTGAAAGTCAGAACTTAATTTTTTTTTCCCTGAGACCCAGTTAACTTAAAGCTATGTTTAGCTTTGGAATTGTTCAATAGATTTCTGTAACATATAAATTGTATATATGGTTTAACTAAGTTACGTTAACTTTGACATCCTCATTCCTTATTTTTTATTTTACTTTGATTAGAAAGTTTTATGATGATGTGCAAATGCCATCAATTTGTTTTATGTCTATGCTTCATTGTGACAAATAGAAGTACACCTGTGAAAGTATTGATGTAGCTATAACATTGCTACTTCTTTTAAGAATTCCTCATTTATTTGGCACCTGAGAGAGCTTGCTGACTATTGTCTTCAACAGTTGTAGTTATCTACGATCCTCTTTTGAATCATTCTGCCCATCAACTAACATTTGGGCTCTTTAGGTGAGGCCTTCTTTGTCTAAACTTGTCTTTCATAGGACCTGGGTCTAGCGATTGACATCCAGTTGGTCATAAATTTTGCTGAATTCGTTTTTGGTCCTTTTGGTCTTAGAACGTGCATTACAAGCACCTGTTTCTTAGTGAGAAAATGTTCCAGTGATGGATGGTGAAGATTGCATGAATATTCACACACAGTACCAATTTGGTACTGTCTGTGATCTTTCAAGTGAGTCAACAATTGCTTTAGGCTTTTGTAGTCTTCTGATTCCTGTCATTTTTGGTAACAAAATGTTGAAACCTCAGAAGAAGTTTCATAAGTGGAATTAGCAAGGTTTGCAATACCGTACCGTACCGGTATTTCGATCTGGGCTCGGCACCGGTACGGTACGGTATACCGAGCGGTACACCTAGGTGTACCGAGTACTGTAGCAGTGCTACAGTAACTGCTACAGTACTCGGACCGGTAACAGTAGGTCCGCGTACCGAAAACCTATCGGACCGGCACGTACCGCCCGTACCGGGCGGTATGGCTCGGTACGACAGACCCTGGGAATTAGTATGTTAGACTCCTCCATTGTCACTCTTTGAATTTCTCTTTGCCTGTCTTTTTGTTATTTATTTCCAGTTCACTTTTCTTTAATCTTTATTATGGTTTATTTGATGTTCTCTTACATCATAGAAGAGCATAACAGAACAATAACGTGTAAGATTATGTATTCAAGGATATAAGTCTAGTACCATATCTCATATTAGAGCCTGGACTGATCAATATGGCTTGTGGGTGTTGGTCATATACTTGGCCAATATTGATTGTATCAATAAGGAAAAGTAATAAAAAAGGAATAGGTTATTCTTCCCATGTTGTGGTAGAAGCCTCATTGATCATTGGCTGGCAAGGTGTATGAGTGTTTGCCTGAGAGAGAGGGATGGACTGCAGGCCACATTGGTGGGAGGTGGTGGAGGAGAAAGATGAGAGTATGAGGAGCACTATGCTCTCTACATGTGTCTGGGATTCCTTGTTTAAGTTTTTCAGTTGCTGTTGGCTGGTTTTTGATATTCGGAATTGGGTGATCCACATACTAAACTCCAGTTGGACAGGGTCTTGCTGCTTGGCAAACATGGTGTACCATGATACATAAATCATTGGATATATTTACATGCTTACTTAAAAGGTATCCATGCTTTTATCATCATAGACTTTTATCACATTAGGTTCCTTATGGTACTACTCCCTGCGAATCAGTAAAATGATTCTTCCACTGGTTGTTTGTGGAATTGTTGCCTAGTTTCTTTGGCTTTATCTGTTTCTCTAGCTTGAATTTTTTTATGCTTTACTTACAGAATATTTCCATGAAGGTTAGCTTTCACACTCCCCAGCAATTATGTAATTTGGTTGTCTCCTGGTAGTATACATGTCATTATATTGAGACATGTAAATGATGGCATTTATTACTGAACTTATATGTGCTTAGACTTTTGTTGTACATGCAATAAATATGTGTTAAATGAGACATAAGATAGTCCCAGAAAAAAGCCACTAAGATTTCATAGGGCTTTCTTATTTTCTGTTGTGTGTCTTGTATCTGATCCAACATTGACAGGAAATGTATTGGATGATAAATAAGATTGATGGTGCAGTCTTAATAATGTGTATGTATCTACATGCTATCATTAGTTTATATGAAATAATTGATAGCTTTTTGAACTATTTTTTGTAAAACCATGGATTTGGGCATGGGACAGTGTTGATCTATGTCATGCTGGTACACAACAATGTTCTAATGCATAACCCAACATGCCCTTTTGCTGTGAAATTTGAAACGTTGCTCAAAACCTCTGATAACAAGAACTAGTATGAGTTTAACTGCTGTTGATAACAAGAACTAATGCATAACCCAACAATGTTCTATAAGTTTTATTTTAATAATCATGCCGAATGAAAGATTAGTGATACTTATGTGATAGGTAATGGTATTTTTTCTTTTGCAGAGATGCTGCTGCTTTAGCTGAATTTTGGGCTTGGCTTGAAGAGGAAATTTCTAAGAATATAGCATATACAGAAGTAGAAGTTGCTGATAAATTGCTTGAATTTCGTAAAAAACAGCCTGGTTTTCTAGATACAAGTTTTGACACTATTAGTGGTAAGTGTTTTTATAACGATGTTGATAATGGGGCATGCCTTTCATGGTAAACATTGATGTTGTCTAACCATGTGAGAAATTCCATGCATCATTACACAAACAAGTTGAAATTCCCAACCATTAGGGACCAGTTATATGAATCATGATTTGCCTTATCGATCCATACCGACGTATCAACTAATTGTTGGTACGGTATGTACTGAGTTGTACCGAGCTATACTGAGTGTACTGACACGTACGACATGGGGCGTACTGATTACTACCCATACTGGTTCCCTATCAGATTAGTAGGTACCACTCGTACCGAGCAGTATGCAGTGGTACGGTGAACCTTTATGAATATTTTTTCCATTGAGTTCTATTAACTGAAACATCACTATTCCAAGTGATCACTATCTAATCCTTTATTATTGTTTATAATAAAGGTTTCTTAGGCATTCCTTACCTCTTGTTTCACTTCCAATCTAAATTTTTGTCGCCTAATAAGTCTTTTTATAGGTCTCTTTAACACATGCAGCCACCTACAATGGTTTTCCAACATTCAACACTGGAACTATTCTGTATCATTCACAAAAAGCCATATGCACCGTTATATTTATCCACCATTATCTTTCAACATAGTTATTTAAAGCTAAATATTCACTTTCTTTCGTTTGTTTATGCTGATATTTCATTGTTATATGCTTAAAATTCTGAATCACCTTCTTAAGTCAGATCCATCCTGATCTTTCTATATATATATATATATATATATATATATATTAACAAAAACCAATAAGATATACCTACAGAG